GGGGCCTAAAGCAGAAAGACTCCTGCATCATCCCCTTCCCATTCCGGTTCTTTTTCCCGTATGTTCACAAAATGTCGCAGAGAACCCCGCCCATCCCCGAATCATCCCCGTCCCCTTGCGGCATCATTCCAGTTCTTTTGAATTCCGGGTTTCTTGAGGAATTGCATCGCGCGACTGGAATGATACCGCAATGATGCTGCTTTCGCCGTATGTCTGATCACGAGATGCGTATCGTGGAGCATTTTGCTGCTCTTTTAGGGGCAGCAAAAGGAAGGATTGGGGTTGCGGCGTGTGGCTGCCACGGCCCCAATCTGCTGCTCCCCGGGGCAGCTCTCTGCCACCCCAAACAGACCGTCTGCATCAGCCCTAAGGGCTACTATAGTCGAGCACTTTCATGATTATAGAGAAAAGAAGAATGGAAGGAGTGGGGAGATGAGTAGGGGGGAAACAAGAAAGAGAAAGAGTCCTAAGAGAAAACCAATCTGGTCACATTCAATCCTATGCATAGTTATTTGGGGTTAAGTCCTATCGAGCACAGTGGATGGGGATTTACTTCTGAGTTGACACTGTTCTTGGGCCCAAGTGGGTGTAGAGAGAGCCAGGAAGCTAAAGGACTAAGGGATGAGAATATGGTGAGTGACTTCTTTCCAGGATGGCAGAATTCAGATATAGGAGTTTATCACAAGGGGACCATATGTACCTCCATCCCGATAATGATTAAAGCAGCTGCAACCTGAAAAATTGTGCAATGTGCAAATGATTTTCACATGCAGAACACAATAATGTGTTAGAAGCTCATTACTAAAGTGAGAAAGAGGGTAGAATGCACATTTAGTTTTCACACAGATGTGTGTAAATCCCAAGAATGGTTTGGGAATCACTTTTTTTTGCGTGTGCTCATAGAAGTAGTAGTTGCGTCACCAGAAATCACCCAGAGAAATAAACAATTTTATTTGCACAATTTTCTTTATAAAAATATACTGTACTGTCCCTTACTTTCCAAGAAATGGTATCCAACCTAAGTAAAAAGAACAAAACATTACCCAAAGAAGTAGGAAAGGTAAAAAACAGTATAAAAGACTGTGTCCCTCTTGGCAACTGGTGTCCCTGCCTTCCCTGAGCAGCTGTTCCTTTAAGAGTCCCGGCAAATGGGGAAGGGCAAGGGAGAAGAGGCATTCACACAGACTAGGGAGAAGCAAGCTTTTTCTCTGTGTCCCTGCCTTTGCCTCAGCAACTGTTCTTTTAAGAGCCCTGGCTACTCACCCCCAAGAACCATGGGATATCTGGCAACAAATACAGAAATGGGGAGAATCCCACAAATGGCTTTCACACTAGAGCAATTGTGAAAAAAAAGCGAATTTGTGAATGAAACGGAAATGAATTTGTGGTATTTTCCTGAAAATACCTATTTGCTGGTTCATGTCACTTTCCTGATGGATTCCAAGCAGTTTGCGCACAACGTCATGTGAAAACTATTTGCACAGTTGTGCCTAATATGCTGGATAAGTGTGGGTTCTGACCCATTTAAACTTCCAATTTTCCTTGTGTGTCCAGGCTAACACTCTATAGCAGTGTTAGCCTGGATCAGTATGAAAGGGATCTTGTAGCACCTTTGAGGCTAATGGAGAGAAAGATAGAAGTTGGTTGCATAAGCTTTCATAGACTTAAGTATACTTCCTCAGATCCACGAAAACTTATGCGGCCAATGTCTATCCTTCTCTCAGTCACCAGAAAGCAGAAGAAAAAAGGATAGCAAATAGATCAGAAACAGAAAGCAGAACTTGGCAGAGATAAACGCCCTAGGAGTTAATTCCTAGGGCCCTGGGATTTAATTAGAAACAGATCCCAAAAGAAATGTCAGACTTTAGCAGCTGCTTTCACAACCCTGACACAGAATACAAACACAACCTGAGCTGGTTCCACACATTGGCACCTTCAGACCCTTGAAGCAGCTAGGAAAAGTTGGCCAAGAGAGTGCCACAAGGGTGAACTTCATCATGGAAAGCAACAGCAACACAGGCAAAGTTCAGCTAGCAGTAGCAGCAGCACCACACCTATCCGGAGGACAGCTCTGGTCTGGAGTTCCTCAGCTGACTGGCCAAAGCTTGCTTGTTTCTTTCCTTCTTTCCTTCCTTCCTCACAGTGCTGAAATCCCAGGTCTTCAGTGGGCCAAAACCACAGGCTGGATCCTGGAGCCACAGTCCTTCATCAGCCCCTGGGATGATTGCCCCATAGGGCACCAATGCAGCTGGGAAAGCAGTTACGCACAGTCAGCAATGCACACACAGGCTGTGAACACAGCACCAAGATCCTGCAGGAGATGGCAGTGCTCCACCCTCTTCCAGCTTCAGTTTTGACTGGAAGGTTATGAAAAGTCAATGTAACGTCACTGTTAAACAACACTCCACCCCTTTAAAATGTTCAGGGTTTAGTGCACCACACAGTGGCCTCTAGTTCTGATTCAGAATATTTTGTTCCAATATCAACACAACAAAATTCAGAGGTGGAAAAGAGCTATTTCAAAATTACTTCTTTCCCCCCCATACACATCTGATGTCCTGGTGGAAGAAATTTCAAAACAGATATAAATGTGAGTCACACAAAATAGTTTTGAGTCATGCAGGCAGGCAGACAATTGTTTATTATGAATTATGGAAGGAAAGGAAACAGTGCTAGAGTCAATAGATTTACCTATTATTTTAATTAAACATTCAAAACAGAAGTGGGAATGTCGTGACCCTCCAGATGTGGGCTAGACAAAGTAACTGTTACATGGATTTGTAATTGGTT